AGTCTGTACCCACCGGGACTGAGGCTGGGGCTGTACCCACCGGGGCTCTCCCTGCTCCCCCCGGGCACAGGGACCGGGGCTGGGGCTGTACCCACCGGGGCTCTCCCTGCTCACCCCGGGCACAGGGACAGATCCCGGAGCTCCCACGGCTCCAGGCTCGGACCCGCACGGAGGGAGAGGGCGATCGGGTTTTGGATTTTTATGAGAACCGAGAAAGGAGCCCCCCCGAGCTTTGCCCCCGCACTTAGGGTCTGGGGGATGCCCGAGGCACAGCCCAGCCGGGAGAACGGGGAAGGGAAGGACAGCGAAGGGGAAAGGAATTCCCACGGGAAGGAAAAGGGGAAAGGGAGCCCAGAGGAAGGGAGTCCAGGAGATGGGCAAAGGGAGCCAAAGGGAAGAGGAGCTAGAGGAAGAGGAGGAAGAACTCAGGGAAGGGGAAAGAGAGCCAAGGGAGAGAGGAGTCATGGGAATGGGGAAGGGATGTCCAGAGGCAGGAGAGCCCCAGGGGAAGGGTAGCCCTGGGGAAGGGAAAAAGGAGCCTGGAGGAAGGGGATGGGTAAAGGGATACCCCTCTGACTCCAGCTGTGTGTTTCTCCAGAGAGCAGGCACAGTTGAAGGCCAATGTGGTGGAAGAGGACACCGAGGAGTGGCAGAGAGATCCGAACTTTGCTGGGGGAAGGAAGGAAGTGTGGCAAGAGTGGGAGGTGTGGATTTATCCTATATCAAAGGAGATGACACCAGTGCCTGTGCCTCCCTGGTGGTTCTCAGCTACCCAAGTCTCGAGGTAACACCGTGAGCACTCACTCCTCGGGGTTGTGTCCAGGTGTGCTGTGACACCAGGGATTTTATAGGAAACTTGCACAAAGGTCATTGTCTGCTGTGTCTGCCCCTCAGGGCATCCACCAGGGATCGTGTGGGGTCACCTTGAGCTGGAGGAGGGCAGCATTAGGTGGGATATTGGGAAGGAATTCTTCCCTGTGAGGGTGCTGAGGCACTGGCACAAGTTGCCCAGAGAAGCTGTGGCTGCTCCATCCCTGGGAGTGTTCCAGGCCAGGTTGGATGGGGCTTGGAACAACCTGGGCTGGTAGAAGGTGTCCCTGCCCATAGCAGGGGGTGGGATGGGATGAGCTTTAAGGTCCTTCCAGCCCAAATCATTCCATGATTCTGTGTATTTTGATCAAAGCCTCCACCTGCTCGTTTGCAAGAAAGATAAACGGGGTGAGAGGTCTTGCTGGGAATCAGCTGATGATATGAGATGTAACATAGAAAAGCCTTTCCAATCCCACCATGGATCCCACATCCCACAGTCATTTTACTTGAGCTAATAAAGATTTTTGGTTTCCTTCCCAGCTTTCCGAACCATATAAAAATTATCTATAAACCATAAAAGCTCTAACAAGAAGAGAAATAAAGTTTGATGCTGTCTGCTGGGGGTTTTATGAACTGAATTAAGTCCTGCCATGGTTCCTGCCTTGCCCTGTGTGATCCCTTTTTTGTCCTGTTATAGGGGGGTTTTGCCTGGCCCTGCCCAGAGACATACACAGAGCCAGACCCCTGATGGGGTGAGCTGTGAGGCTCTCAGTAGCTGTCCTGGTTTTGTTTCAAGGACTCGTGGGCAGGGTGTGGTGGTTTCCAGCCCTCCCCTGCCAGCAGTCCCTCCTCTATACAACAGAGACAGACCCACACACAGAGCCCAGAGCCCTTGGCTCTGTGGGAGAGGTCCAGCAGCAAAGGAGAGGAGGGGACATGAAGCTCCTGAACCCCCCAGGGCCTGTGCCAGGGGTTCCTGTCTGTGCCCAGGTGCTGTACGAGGATTGCCGGATGGTGACCGTCAGTGCTCCGTACGTGCCTGGATTCTTGGCCTTCAGAGAGGTACCTGTCCTGGTGGAAGCTGTTCAGAGACTTCAGCAGGCGAGGCTCAAACGTGTGGCATGTTTCCTTGTCCCAGGCTGAGGTGGGTGCACAGTCCTGCTGAGAGGTGTTCTCCCTCCAGAGACAGCCCTGGCTCTGTTCTCCATGCACAGGGTGGAAGGGGCAGTGTCAGAGCTGTGTTGGAGCATCCGTAGCCCTTTCTTTAGGGATACAGAGCCAGGAGCATACAGGCCTCTCGTGGCAGCAAGAACCCTGTTGTGTGTTTCCTTGTCCCAGGCTGAGGTGGGTGCACAGTCCTGCTGAGAGGTGTTCTCCCTCCAGAGACAGCCCTGGCTCTGTTCTCCATGCACAGGGTGGAAGGGGCAGTGTCAGAGCTGTGTTGGAGCATCCGTAGCCCTTTCTTTAGGGATACAGAGCCAGGAGCATACAGGCCTCTCGTGGCAGCAAGAACCCTGTTGTGTGTGCAGGGCACTGCCAGCCACAGGGAGCTCACACTGCTGCTTTAGAGTCAGGCACAGGCAGCACTTACAGGGAGAAATAAAGAACTGAGAGACTTCTCCTTCCTCCCAGAGCCAACAGCACTGAATGCCCCTTGGAGTGCTCTCAGTGCCCATGAAATAACACTTCTGCTTTGGCTTTTTCAGGTGCTTCTGGTGGATGGGAATGGCTTGCTCCATCCTAGAGGTAGGCCAATGCCAGAGAGCCCTGTTCTCCTGAGCCCTGTGCTGCTGCTTGGGATTGCTGTTCCCTGTGCCCTGCAGTTACAGTGGCTCCTTGTTGGCAGGATTTGGTGTGGCCTGTCACCTCGGTGTCCTGACAGATCTGCCATGCATTGGAGTGGCCAAGAACCTCCTGCAGGTGGATGGCTTGGTCAAGGATGAGCTGCACAGAGAGCAGGTTAGGCCAGGCTGGGAACTTACTCCTGCTCTTTAATAGTATCCCCAGGGAATTGGCACAGCCACATACAGGTACATCCTAACCACCTGACCTTGTGTGTGTTTATCCCTAGATTCGTTCCCTGCAGAGGTCAGGAGATGCATTCCCACTGACAGGCACTTCGGGGAGAGTCCTGGGCATGGTAAGCTGTGGGGAGTTCCCTGGTCACTTGGCCCTCCACAGTGGGACTGTCTCAGGGATCCCAGTTCAGGAAGACAAGTGTGAGTGGGTGACAGTCACACTGCCAACCCTGAACAAGAGCTCAGACCTTGGTAGGAGTTGCCAGTTCAGGTGTTAGGTATATTCACATCCATGGCTGTGGCACCCCTATGTGTGAACCCCAGTCAGGGAGAGGTGCCAATTCCCTGGCAGCTTGCTGGGATGGGATATGAAGCGTCTGACTCCAAGGTGGACAGGAACAGTCAGATGTGAGAGGCTTCCTGTGTGTTGGTCTGTAGTAGCACATCTCCCTGTGTCCCAGAGCAGTGTGAGGCATCTGGGGAAGGGTCATGGGTATCCAGAGGGACAGACAATCCCTGTGAGGAGACAGTGGGATGTAGAAGAGGTTCAAGAAGTCTGGGAGCTGCAAGCACAGCCATCCCCCACTTTTGGAAGGCTCGTATCTCACCTGCCACACAGTTTGCCCAGATGAGCCTCTGCAGTGCTTGATGTCTCTCCTTTCTGAATGCTCAGGTGCTGCGGAGCCACAACAACAGCTCTAAGCCACTCTACATCTCTGTGGGTCACAGGGTGAGCCTGGACACAGCTGTGCACCTGGTGAAGTCGTGCTGCAGGTACCGGATCCCGGAGCCCATCCGACAGGTACGGCCACAGGGAGCTGGGGAAGGACAGGCAAGCCTGGGGCAGGGAAGCAGTGCAGGGTCTGTGTTTGTGTGATTCAGAGCCTCAGTTTGCCACTCCTCTGCCCTGGCAGCTTGGCCACTGATACCCTGTTCTCCCAGCCCACAGTGGTGCCTCTGTGGGAGTTCACTGCTCCTCCCGTGCTCTCTCTCCTGATGCAGTGCCCGGCAGCACTGCCAGCCCTGGCTGCAGACCCAGCCTGACTGATTTCCTGCCTCCCCTCTGCAGGCAGCTCCTGCGAGGCTGGTGTTAACACCCAGGAGCTGGAACGCAGCTTCGCTGGGCACCAGGAGCCCAGCACAGCCCGCAGTGCTGCTGCTCTGGGACCCCGGGCAGGCTGCAGCCAGCAGGTGACAGCACTGCATCACCGTCCCCGAGCCACGGCTGCCACCAGGGCTCAGCCCTGGCACCGTAAATCGCAGCAGACCTTGAGGAAAGGCTCTGGAGAAGTGTAAAGCCTCTGGGACTTCTGGCCTGCAAGTGCTTCCCTTCTCCCAGGGTCACTGTTGGTGGCTCTGCAGCTCAGATCCAGGGAGCAGAGCCTGATCAAGTATCCCTGTTGGCAACACTGCCCTGGCACAGCCTGTTGGCATCACTGCCCTGCTGTGCTGGCAGGTGATGGGGGTCTGGCCACCTGTGAGCCCCCTGAGCCACACTGGCATGACCTGCTGAGGGCTCTGCACACAGAGCTGCTCCCTGTGCTGCTCTGTGCTCTGAAAACTGAGTCTCCAGGTCTAAACCAGACAAAAATCTCACACCTTGGAGCAGAGCAAGCCTTGGGGTGCCCGTACCAGAGCTGGTTTCCAATGTCTCAGACCAGTACCTGCCAGACAGGAGGAGCTCACAGAGCTCCTTATGTAATCTCCTCCAGCGAGGGACAGATGCCTCTGCAGAGCTCTGAGCCAGCTCTGCAGCTTGGCATGTTCAAAGGGAAGGGAAAAGCATTCCCTTTGGAAACAGAAAGGTGTCTTGGAGCTTTTCATCACCCTCGTTTCGCTTCCAGCCATCTCCAGGATTTGCTAATGTTCTGAGACTCTTCCAGTTCTCCAAATGTGACCTTTTTCTTAGAGTGATGGAATGAATTATTGTCGCTTTCCTTACAGAGAGCTGAAAAATCCAAAGGGAGTGTGTTTACTGTAGAGGGGTGGCAGGAGATAAGGACACTTAAACCTTTCCATGGGACTTGTCTCTGCTGCAGTTCCTCTCTGTGGTGACTGTCACAGATCTTGGCACAGGGCAGAGCTGGAAGCCTCAGCTCTGAGCACCTAAAGTTGGAGTTAGGAAGTGGAAGGCTGTGGAGAATCTTGCCAGGGATGGCTGACTTGGCCTTTTGGCCATGGTGTGTGCCCAGAACAATCTTGCAGACCTGGTGGGTGAGGTGCTTGTGGCTTTCCCAGTGTTGTGAAAGACTTGTGGACCATCAGCTCTTGGTTTGTCAGTTCTGGCAGCCCTGGAAGCGAAATGCTCGGTGAGAGCTCTGCTGCCCTCACCTCCCAAGGTTTGTGGTCTGTGTGAGGGCAGTGCTGTGCTGCAGCCTGTGCTCTTTCCCAGAGGCCAGGCCGTGTAGGGGATGTGGTGCTTCCTGGGAATGCAGCACTGTCCTGGCAGGGATCAGGAACAGTTCCATTCGCATTCAGCCCAAAGTGTGCTTGTGCTGCCAAGGAACTGGCTGCGCTGCAGGTGAGAGAAGTGATCTCTCAGAGGAAGCAGAGGGAGGTTCATTGTCACCCACAATCAGTATTTACATCCCACTGAGTCCTTATTCCACATGCCAGTGCCAGGCCCATCTGGGAGAGCTGTGCTCGCCTGGGGCTGATCTCTGCCCAGCCACTCTGTGAGGAGCTGCACAGAGATGGTCATTCCCAGCTCCCAGGCAGGAATTGCAGTAGGCAGGAGCTGTCATCCCAGAATCATAAGCACAGCACTCAATCTGAGTGGCCTGGAACAATACCAAGCCCTGCTGAGAGAGCTGCCCTTGCCTCCTGGAGAGGTCAGCATCCCTCCCTGGTGCTTGCCCACGCTCCAGGCTGCTCAGCCCCAGGATCCCTGTGCACAGCAGGGACACAGGAGCTGTTGACACTCTCCAGCTGACAGGGATTGCACTGGGACCCTGCTCTGCTCTCGCTGCTTCAGGCTCCTGGTTGGCTGCTCACCAACCTCCTGCTCACTTGATGATCCCTTCAGCTCCCACTGGCCCCGTGCCCAGCTGGTTCCTGCTGGCTTAGGAAGGGGCTGGTGGCACAGCCTGGTGTTGCTTCAGCCCACCAGGAAGGACAGAAGGAGGCCTGGGAATTTCTGCAAGTCACTCCCTGGGAAGTATTGAACACCTGCCCTTAGGAGGAGTGAGAGAGAAACCCTCAGCCCTCTCCTCTGAGACTGAAAGTTGGTCACTGATGTCTGGATACCAACTCCCCTCAGGGGTACCCCCTGCAATCCTACTGTGTGTACAGGCATCACCACCGCCCCTCAGAAAACAGGCAAAGCAACAATTCTAAAGCCAGCACTGAAAATAGCCCCAATCTGTGGGGATTATTACGGGACAGTGATCCATCTTATTGATTAGCCCTGTGGTTAATCGCTGGGTTAAGCTGACTCCAGCAAGGAGTGAGCACTGGTTTGGAGCTGCTACCTCATCAAGCATTAGCTGATGTTCTCAGCAGAACGTGGTTGGGGTTTTACTTTCCTAGGAAAATAGTTTGTAGCTGTGCCTCCTGCTCCTTGGTCTCCCCATGGGGACTGTGGAGCAGCCTCCTTCCCTGGTTATAAAATGCATCACGTAATCGCTTATCCTGAAGAGTGATCAAAGTTATTTGTCAGTTCGGTTATGAAACTGTCCAATTATAGAGAGAAGGGGAAAAAAAAATCTCCCAAACAAACCACCCCTTATGTAACTCTCTCTCATTCTCAGCTGGCAGGATGGCTCTGCAGTTGTGGAGCAGGTTCCAGCAGCAGCAGGCACAGCCTCCAGCGAGGGGTTTGGCTGGGGGTGAGGGGTGTGGGGGCTGCCTGGGGTGCAGCAGAGGCTCCTCAGGAGCAGCACAGCAGTGAGTGCAGCAAATGCTTCAAGGACAGCCACCAGGGATGTGTTAACCCACTTTCTGAGAGTCATCTCTGTACGCTGTGAAGCTTTCCAGCTGGGAAGGTCACATCCTGCTTTGTAAAAGTGGGGAAAGACGGTCTGTCTTTGAGGTGGGGCACAGCAGCTGCTCTGAAATGTCACAGCATAGCAATGTGTTTGGGGAAGAAGCTTCTAAAAAAGAAAAGGACTTTGAGGGACTGTAAAAACCAACTGCCAGTTCTCAAAGGTGTCTGAGAGCCCGTGATGTGCTTGTGATGGCATCAGAGAGTCTTCTGCTGGGGTGGTGCAGCACTGGAGAGCTCAGCAGTAACACCTCTGGGGGGCAAGAACACCCAGTAAATGTCCAGCAACACTTTTTTACAACTCTTGGCCTTTCCTTGATCCTCTCCTTGCCCCAGGCTGTGCTGCCCTGCTGAAACAGCATCCTGTGTGCCACGTGCTGACACCAGGGTGGATGGCGCACTCTGGGCTAGCAGAGGGAGGCACCAGCCAGGCTGGGCAGTCCATTCTCACTCATTTTCCTCGCTGATTTCAGGCTGATATTCGATCCAGGGAGTACATCAGGCAGCAGCTGTGTGCACCACTGCAGGTCAGAGCTGCTGGGACACAGAGGTAGGTGTGTGGGCAGCTGCCTGCAGAGGGGATGTGCTCATGGAATGAGCTGCAGTAATGGCATTACAGGGACAGGCAGGGTAACAAGGTGAGCTCAGTGGCATCAGGACATGTGCTGCCTCCAGGACAGGTGATTCCTGGCTGGTGTGGCTCACACGTTGTGCCGTGTCCTGGCCTGGGGAAGATCAGGGGGATTTGGGCTTTTTTCAGCACTGCTGCTAAGCCAAGCCCTAACGCCCACAGGTGTGACATGAGGGTGAGCAGAAATACCTGCAGGGAGCTGGTTGCTGCCCCAGGTCTCAGGGCAGGGTCAGAGTCCCCCACTCTTGCATAACCTGGGCCAGTGGGTGCTCAGATTATTGCTGTAAATCCATGGCAAGTCCTCCAAGGTGTAGGAGGTCCTCGTGCCGTGGCTGTGCTGTCCCTTCAGCAGTTCACAGAGTGGTTGGGTGCCCTCAGACCCACACCTGGCTGAGCAGGTACTGCATGGCCCTGCCCCAAGAACTGCCTGGGGCTGAGCCAGGCGTGTCAAGGCTCTGGGGGTCCCGAGGGACCAGAACAGTGGGTGGTGGTGGCAGTGAGGCAGCTCTTATAGATGGATTCCTTAGGACACCTGCGTGATGCAACTCACCATGCTCTGCTCAGCTTTGCTCAGCTCCTCTATTCTTCGAGCTGTGCACCTGCAGCAGTACAAGGGGCTCTCTGCTCGTGTGGTGGCAGTTGCTCACATGGGCAGCTCTGTGCAGGGCCAGGCTGGGTGTTCCCTGTTGTCCTGGAGTTTTATCTCTAACCCCAGCCTGCCTGGGCGGGTGCTGGAGCTCACACTGGTAGTGTGGAGGTGTGTGCACCAGAACCCCCAAACTCATTCTGTTTGTGACCCTCTGTATCTAAGCCATTAGTTACAAGGGACACAGTTGTTTGGTCTTGTTGATTTCCACTTCTGGTTTCTACTTTTGTTAAAGTCTGTGACTCTTCCTTGTTCTTGTTCCCAGCACCAAAAACTAGGCTGAGCTGGAGGATTAGTCTGATGCCAGAAAAAACTGCAGAGCTTCTCTTCACTGGATCCTCTCCTCCAGCAAGGCTGAGTTCTGAGTACAGGAGCCCAGTGCCACCCTGGGGAGAGCTATGCCATGTCCCCTGGGACAATGCCAACCACTGTGCCTGGTGCTGGGGGCTGCACAGCCCTTCTGCTCAAGGATAACCCTTGCAGCTTATTTCTCAGGGTTTGGTTTTGACTATTGTAAGCAAACAGCTTCTGTCCCTGAATCAGTCCTTGACCCTCATCCAGTCTACAGGGCTGAAGCTGCTCCTCCCAAGGTGTGGGGCCTGACTGTGTCTGGCAGGTGGTTCCTGACCATTCCCAAAGAGCAGCAGAGCAGAACACACTCTATGGGAGTTCTTGGTTTGGCTGTTCAAGATTCCAGGCTGGAGAGGAAGAAGAATGATTTCCTGGGACGGGGGAGGCTGCTCAGCTCAGAGTTCCTGTGGGCTGTTTTAACTTCAATTTTGCATAAATGTTTTGTACAACTTTGTTCTTTTCTCTGTCTTGGAGCTGCTTTGGGGAGGACAAAATCCAATCCCTTCCTCATGTCTGCTGGGTCAGGGTCTGGGCTGGTCCCTCCTACATTTCCTCCTGAAACCTGGGTGGGAAAAGGGAGGAAGCAATAAACCTGACACCCCCAGGGCCCATCTGGGGAGCTTTGGGGGCTGCTCCTTGGGAGAAGTGAAGAGGAACTCCCCAAAACCCTACTGATATGTTTAAAAGCTGCAGCAGCTGCAGCTTCCAGGCCCTGGGAAGCAGCTGCTCTCCCCTGGGAAGCCTCAGAGCTGTTTCACACCAGTCCATTTGTGGGTGGACACAGACTGGAAAGGGAAAACCATTGCAGTGGAAGCTGCTCCTTTGATCCTAGGGGTGTGGGGACTCGGGGGGCTGCTGCTGGCCAGGGGCAGAGGCAGCACTTGGGTTTGTGTCTGGCTCTGGCTTTGGCAGGGGTCAAGGTGTGGGGGCTGGGGACAGCCCACCCAGCCCAGGGGACACGGGGACAGCCCTGTGCCCTCACTCCATGGACACAGCACCTCCTCAGCCACGGCCCTGACCTCCTGTCCCAGGGGAACAGTGTGGGATGGAGCCTCCTGGAGAGCTCCCCAAACCCACACTGCTTTCCAGCTCAGAAATAGCTGAGTGCTGTGGGAACAGCCTCCCAGTGCCCAATGCCAGGAGTGACCCACAGAATCACAGGCTCAATGAAGTTGGAAAAGACCTGTGAGACCATCAAGTCCAACCTATGACCCAGCACCAATATGTCAACTAGACCATGGGACTAAGTGCCGTGTCTGGTCTCTGCTGAAACACCTCCATGGATGGTGACTCCACCACCTCCCTGGGCAGCACATTCCTGTGTCTAATCACCCTTTCTGGGAAGAAGGGCTGATTAGGAGCGGGTGAGGGGAGCTGCCACAGCTGGGTGAGGAGGGGATTGGGGTGTCCCACTGTCCCTGCAGCAGGAGACTCTGTCTGGCTTAGTGAGAGCTAGCTGTGCAGAGCACCAGTCTGGTGAAGTGGGAGTCCTCCAGTCCCTAACCCACCTCCAGCACTGGAGTGGCAACCAGTGAGTTCTTCCTGAGAGGAACTGGACTTGGACCTGTCCCAGCTCTTCCCAGGAGGCACAGCACTGCTGCTAGCAAGGATCAGCTCATCCATTCCTCATTCCACACACAAAACAGCAACTCCCCTAAACCACAGGGACAGTCTCCTAAAGCCTGTCACAAATTCAGGCATAAGTGGCACACTGTGGGCAGGGAACAGCTGCTTCCTACATCTCACAGGCAGAACATCAGAGAAATCCATCTGGCTTTGCTGGCTACCTTGACCCAGTCTTTTTGGGGGCCCAGGGAGCCCCAGACAGTGCTGGGGGTGGGGGCACAGGACCAGCCCAGGTGCATCCCATGCTCTGGGTCACACCACTCCCACTGGAGAGTCATCCCAGGTGAGCTGAAGCCCCTCACTCAGCTGAGCTGTGCCACAGAGGCTCTGTGAAGAGCAGGCAGGTCCTCTGGGATAGCTCTGCTAGCAAAGAGGTTCCTGCAGCATGTGGGACTGTGGCTCCTGGTCTGGCTGTGCAGCTGTGTGGGTGAGTGTCTGTGTTTTTGGACTCTCCTGATTTATTTGTGCTTCTGGTTGATGCTGGACCATGGGAAGGTTGGGGTGGAATGGTCAAGAGAGGCTCTGCAGGCAAAGCCATGAGCTGGACTATGTTGTGCCCAGTTTCTCAACATGAGCATGAGGTTGTTTGTATTTTGGGGCTGTGGCTGGGGCTTACCTCTTCCTGCCTGGCTCTGGGTGTTTTGGTGCACATAGGGTCCTTGTGCTCACCCTCAGACACAGCCAGGTCTGGGGACATTGCTGTCCTCAGCTGGCCTGACCCCCCCCCCCCGGGGCCCCCTGGGAGGAGTGGGAAGAGAAGCTCAGATAAATAAAACAGGCATAAAAAACCCCAAACACATGGCTGTGCACTGCTCTTCCCACCTGGGATCACTACCTGCCTCCTTCTGCGTGAGGCTCTGAACTCTGCTCATTCCAAGTGCAGGTAAAGTCAGATGACTCTGGATTAAAGTCACCTGGACAGGGTTTAGGAGGAGGATGGGCACTGCCATGGCAGTGGGACCTGGCAGCCCCCTCTGCAGTCCTGCTGGAGCTGGGGGCTCTGGTCCCATGGGTTTGGGGTGTGCCTGAGCCATGGGATGCTCTCCTAGCTGCCCAAACCTGGGGTGGTTAAAGGCAGGGACTAATCTCTCTGTTTGGTGTCTGCTTGTGGCTCTTTGGACACAATCAGGGATTAACTTGGTCTTTATCTAATTGGCTTATAACCCTGGGAAGGGAAAATCACTTTGTAATGCATGAAACCTCTTAATAGAAACTCGGAGGCAGGAGCTTGAGTGCCCTTCGAAGCAAACTCGTACACATCTCATCCTTTTTAGCTCCATTCGCTCAAAATTGGCTGTTCTGGGTGTTAAGCTGTCGGGAACCAGAGGGAAATACATATTGCTAGCTGGTTGTAAAAGCCTTTTGTTATCACCAAGGGAACAGCTCTGCAAAACGCTGCCTGCTGGAGTGGTGTTGGGGTGTGGAGCGTGAGGACACAGTGCTGGGAGGGGATGTGGGAGTGGGAAAGCTTTCGAGCTGCCTGTTCTTGGGAACACTCGATCTGCTCAGCCTGTGCAGCCTCCTGTGCATGACATCTGTGTGGGGCACCTGGCTGGGGTCTGTCCATGTGAGGCAGTGAGGAGAGGGCTCTGTGTGTCCCCAGGGCCCCCCAGCCCTGCCCTGCAGCCTGTGCCTCCCACTGGGAAGCTGGAAATTAGAGCAGGAATCGTTTCTTGGCTCATGGGGAGGCTGGAGGCAGCTCCTCTCTGTGCTGGGGAGCCCTTCCTTGAGCTCCCTTCACACCTTGGGCTTGTGTCCTGATCCTGGTGTTGGTGCCACCTCCCAGGTAGGTGCCTCCCATCTGCCTCCTGAGAGCTCTTCTGTGCTGTTTGCCCTCTGAAGGGAGATGGAAGGTTTGTGCCAGTCAAGTGCTGAATGGTTTGTTCTGCTACAGACTCTCTGGGTCTGCTTCTTCTGATTTTTGTGGACATGTAGAGATGAGGAAAGAGGATCCCTGTGCCTGCCCCGTTTGTCTGGGGTCCCTGAGGAAGGGGAGGGAAGATGCTTTAGATTGTGAGTCTGTCAGTTCTCTGAGTTTTGAGGGAGTCTGGATGAGCAGCTCTGTCACAGGTGCCTGGAGCTGGGTGGGATGAATTCCCACCTCCGTGTCTGGAGCTTGTGGCAGTGTAGGTGCTGCCTTTGCAGTTTGTGCTGCAGGGATGGAGCTCTGGTGACTCAGGGTTTGTATTTCAGGACACTCATGCTGAGGACGGGGGAAGTGTTTCACTGGGATTTCCCCCCTCCACGCCCCCAATTCTCATCCCTCTTCCTTTTTGGCTTGGGTGGGTGGATTTAG